ATTGAAGAGACCTTGGAAGGTAAGACTGACTTTATGAGCGGCTCCCTGGAGGTCAGACTTTAGAATGGGCCCGGCCCCGCCCTACCGCAATGTCATCACTTAGGACAGGACTCGTGGAAAAGACACTTCCCCAGGGCAGGAAGTGACCAGAGCCAGTCGGGACACTGTGGATCCGGAAGCTTCAGAGGGTAGCTGCTCACCTGACAGAATGAGCGTGAGGCCCATGGAACCAGGGGGGAGGCGCTGCTGTGCCTAGGAGGCCCCAAATCCCAGGGGAAGGACGCCTTTCCCAGCCGGGCGGGGCCCCGGCAGAGCCCCGAGTCAGTCTCTGCTCCCTTCTCCTCCTCCACTCCTGCAATCCTGCCTCCTCAGACCCCCTCTCCATCTCCTTCCCGCTGGCTCCAGTCACAGCCAGCTCAGGCCCCGGTCACTCGTGTCCTGCTGTCCTAGCCTCCCACCGTCCCCATGTGCTCTGCACCTGCGTGGCAGACAGGGTCTTTCTGAGATGCACATACAGAGATGTTCTCTGGCTCGAACCCTCCAGTCACTGCCTTCAAACCAAGTCTGACCCCAGGGCATGGTGCCCGTGGTCCCCAAGGACCAGGCCTGGCTTCGGTCTCCAGCCTCGTCCACACACCTCCCTGCACCGGGCTGCCCTGTGTGCCTGGCTCTCAGCTCCGCTGGGCCTTTGCACACTCCGTACCCCATCTCCTCTGTGTGCTAGTCCTACTCACCCTTACTGGCTGGGCTGTGTGGTGCCCTCCCCGATCTTCCCCACCCCCACCGGGCCCCTCCTCCGTGCTCCACTGCCCCCGTGCTTCTGTCTTTAAGGAGCTAATTACAAGGGACAGTCCCAGGCCGGACTGAGAGCCCTTGAAGACCGGGTCTGTGCTCCGACAACGTGAGAACAGGGCAAGGATAAGGATCCCCCAGTTACAGACAAGAATGCTGAGGTTTATTCCGGAAGGCCACGTAACTAGCCCTAGGACAGTGGCTTTGAACCTTCCTCTCCTCCTATTAGAGGCACCAGCCAGCAGCCGGCAGGCCCATGACCACTAGGGGGCGCAAGAGGATAAGCCCTGGGCGGCCGTGTGCCTGGTGGGAGGGGCTCTGCTCTGCAAGGACCCAGACACTACAGCAGCCACCTCTGAGGTAGCGAGGTGAGTCCTTGCCGCTCAATAGTGACAGCACAACCTCCGGATGTATATTCAAAGAAAGACAGCAGTGGAAAGAGGCGAGCACGGGCAGACGGGTGCAGATGGGAGACGAGTGGTCCCCTTTGCTCCGAGAGTGTAGCAGGGATCTCGACAGGTGCCTCGACTGGAACTTGACTCAGCCTCTCAGAGCAGTAGACTATGGGCACAGGGTCCTCCTGGGACACGGAACTTATGGAGCTGCTGTGAGGATTAAGTAAAACATGTAAAGTATTTAAAATAGCAGCCGGAACATAGTAAGTGCTCATGAATGCAAGCTGCCGGCATAATTATCTACAAGCCCCCACATTGCTCTTGGCACGGCTTATTTATAAATTTTTTTAATGTTTATTTATTTTTGAGAGAGCAAGGGAGGGGCAGAGAGAGAGGGAGACACAGACTCTGAAGCAGGCTCCAGGCTCTGAGCTCTCAGCACAGAGCCAGACGCGGGGCTCGAACTCACAAACCTCAGGATCGTGACCTGAGCCGAAGCCGGACACTTCATCGACTGAGCCATCTGGGTGCCCCGATCTCAGCACAGCTTTTTTGGTCAAACATCCCAGGAGACTGATTCTGGTGACCTCTGGGGTCCTTCCTAGGACCCTACCAGTCTGACACTCATGATGCCATGTGAACATTATAGATCCAGCAGCCCAGGCCAAAATGCTCAGACACCGACCCAAGAACTTATATCCTTAGGGAGTTTATCAGCAACATAAAGAAGCTACTATTTTTGGGATTTTTGTTGTTGTTGTTCTGTTTTTGATACCTGTGATGCAGGCAGAGCCTCGCTCTCCTGTAGAAACAGATTACAGGCCTTTGCCTGCGGGCATGTGGCCCGCAGGAGTCTAATCGCTAACACACACTGAGCATTTCCTGTGTGCTGGGATCTGTTCTAAAGGCCTTCCGTATTATCCACTCTCTAACATTCTCAGAGCAGGTGCTATTCTGACTCCCCACTTTACAGAGGAGGAAACTGAGTCACAGAGAGGTTAAGTAACCTGCCCCAGGTCATACATACAGCTAACAAGCAGCAAGACTGTGGTGTGAGCTCAGGTTTCCAGCTCCAGTCTGTCACACTGTTTCTGTAAGAGAAGGAGGCCCACAAGGAGGTGCCCACCAAATGTTGGCTAAGAGAAGGACATATTGATAGCCTGGATAGTGCCTTCCCTTCTTCCTATTTGGAAGTTACTGGCTAATACTTGGGCCGGACTCAGCTAAGGATACATTTTTTTTTCTGCGTCAATATCCTGTTGGCAGAATGATAATTGAATAAAAAGAGAAAAAAGAGGGGGAAAAAAAGTCTTTCTCTTTTGATCAACATTAATATCAGCAGCCTTATCAAATTAAAATCTAATTCACAAGGGTTTGGACGGCAAAGCTGGAAGCTTGTTGCCCGGGCTCAGCGATGTCAACCAACAGCACGCGGATCCTAGGCGGGTCGCTGAGCTGGCTCCCGCTCTGCTCATCGCGAGTATCTGCCGGGCCTACCTTCCAGCAGCGCCGAGGAGGGAAAGCAGATCGTATGTGGACATGATGCTATGTTCTCAGACAGCTGCTGCACCGCGGCCGTTTGTGAAAATGCATATCCTGATTCAGGTGGGGAGGCGCTGCATTTCTAACAGGCTCTTGGGGGCTACGGATGCCACTGGTCTGTGGACCACACTCTGAAGCCAAGTGGTTGTGGGAAAGGCTCAGGGCCTGCTCCGTAGGTCTTAGCTGCTGGGTCTCTGAGGCAAGGACCGGGTGGCTGTTACAGGATTCTGAGCTGGGTGTGACCTGGGTGGGTACATGGGCATGGGTTTCCGAGGTCAGAGGAAGGGGGAAATGGGTACATATTGTGCAGGGCAAAGCCAAAACCACCACTGGGAAACCCCACGGTGACTAGGGTGTTACAGGTCACAGAGCACTTTCCTGGAGCCCTGTGTGCAGAAACTCCTAGGACTACTCTTTTATAAATAGAGTAATTGAAGTTCAGGAGGGTCACGTAATTGGTTCAATACCACACAGCTTCAAGTGGCTGAACACTAGGTTCAAAGTCAGATACCAGCGGGTTATATCTCCAACTATGTATCAGAATTGTTTAGGGAGCCTTAAAACCAGCCAATACCAGGGTCTTCACTTTAGACCAATCAGGTTGGATCTCTGGGCATGAGGTCCAGACAGGGGCATTTTCTGAAAGTTCTTCAGGTGATTGAGAGCCATCAGGAAAGCAAATGAAGTTCTGTCCACACAAGTGGGAGTCAACAATGACTACCCACTATGCTCCCCTGAAGCTCTAAACACTCCAGACTGATTAGGTCAGAATCTCTGGGAGGGGGACCCATCTGGGACCCAAGCATCAGTCCTTTCTAAAGCTCCCCAGATAACTTCAGTGTGCAGCCAGGATTGAGAACCAGTGCTCTATTCGGCAGTAACACAAAGATGGTCAGCATCTCCACTTGAGGAATGGGTGAGTGGATACATGGATGGATGGATGGATGGATGGATGGACGGACAAACGGGATAGACGGATAGACAGATGGATGGATGGATGGATGGATGGATGGATGGATGGATGAACAAATGGATGGATGGATGGACGGATGGATAGATGGATAGATGGACGGACAGACAGACAAATGGGATAGATGGATGGATGGATGGATGATGGATGGATGGATGGACGGACAGAGACAAATGGGATAGATGGATAGACGGATGGATGGATGGATGGATGGATGAATAGATGGATGGACAGATGGACAGACGGATCGATGGGTGGATGGATGGATGGATAGACGGATGGATGGACAGATGGACAGAGGGATGGATGGATGAATGGATCAATGGATGAATGGATGGATGGATGGATGGATGGATGGATGGATAGATGGATAGAAGGATGGATAGATGGATAGATGGATAGACGGATGGATGATGGATGGATGGAAGGATGGATAGATGGATAGACGGATGGATGGATGGATAAATGGATAGATGGATGAATAGACGGATGGATGGATGGATGGATGGACAGATGGATAGATGGATTGGTGGATGGATGGATGGATGGATGGATGGAC